TTGTTGACCGGCCTTTCTTTTCCTCCTTCGTCTCCGCAGAGCACCGCTGCGTGGAGTCGGCCAAGATCCGGGCCAAGTATCCCGACCGTGTCCCGGTGAGTTCCGCTGCCTCGATGAGTGGCCGCCCGCAGACGCCCGACACCCCCCCCCAAGGACAAGGCGCCTCCAAGCTGATGGATCCTGCCGGCCTGGAAGCTGAAGCAACCCCCCTCCCTCCCCAATCCAGTCCAGGGCAGTCAGCTGGATTTCACTCTCCTGGTTGTGGGGAGCAGAGGCCTCCCTCCTTGCCTGCGAACCCTCCTCAGGGAAGTGGAAGGAGAAGAAGAAGAAGAAGGGGAGGCTGCCTCCTCCTGTGGACCCCCCTTGAATTACATCTGCCTTAATCCCCAGGGCGCTGAGGACCGAGACGCTCATCTCAGGAAGGCCACCCATTTGACTGCTGTTGCTTGACTCCAGCTGAGGGGAAGAGAAGCTCTCCCAGAGCATTCCCCAGCTGGCTGGCCGCCCCCCTGTGCTTGGATGGAAAGAGGAGGGCGGACCACAGTTTGTCTCCTGGTCGCAATTTATTTATTTAGTGCCTCAGTGCGCCTGCCAGCAGAAGAGAGGCTGCTAGCCGATGGAGGAGGGGATGTGCTGCTCCTGCTGGAAAAGTGACTTGGTGGTGGAGTTCCAGAGGGAGGGAGCATAGGGGGCTGGCCTTGACATGGATCTCCCTTTCCAGGCCCCTGAATAAGAGCAGGGAGTTCATTTCCTCAAAGGAAGTCATTGGAATGCATGTCTGGATAGAACAGGCCTCATTCGGCCAGGAGCTTCCAGCAGATCGTGGCGACAGGGATGGGGTGCCCAGTGTCACTGGAAAGGGCCCCCCTGGCATCAGCTGGGCCTGTAAGCTCCACTGGGAATCTTGCTCCCTCACCGAGTACATTTTTTAATATTTCTTAAATAGGCAGCATGCCACAGATGAGCTGGGCTTGGTTGCCTCTGGATTTTCCCTTAGACCTCCTCCGCCCCTGAGGAGGATGTCACTGGAGAGCTAACTGAGCCACTTGCAATGTCTTCACCCTTCTCAAGTAATGTCCTGAGGGAGCTAGTGCTTCCTTATAACTAACTTGAGTCCTGTGATTCTTCTTGCAGTCCATAGGCCTTTGGGGTTCTCGCACCCATTTTTTAAATCATGGTCCTGGGATGTTTTGTTTTCCCTCCTGATACTTTCTATTGCTTTATTGTTGATATGTTTGGTTGTGTCGCTACTAGTTAGGCGGAATAAAAATGCAAACAACCTTGTGCTTCTGTGACTGGGGTAAGACTTTGAGTTTCGCAATTGGTCCTGAGAGATCTCCCCTCATTTGTGTTTCCCCGCGAGCAGGTGATCGTGGAAAAGGTCTCAGGTTCTCAGATTGTGGACATTGACAAGCGGAAGTACCTGGTTCCATCCGACATCACGGTGGCTCAGTTCATGTGGATCATCAGAAAGAGGATCCAGCTGCCCTCTGAGAAGGCAATATTTCTCTTCGTAGATAAAACTGTTCCTCAGTCCAGGTGAGAGTTCTTCCATTTTTCTGGGCACAAATCTTTGACGTGGTAGTTTTCTTTCTTGTCCTGGGGACGGCGGCCGACTGGCGTGTTTGGCTCCTACTTTGGAAGAGCTGCCCCACACAAAGGATCGCTGTTCTTCTCCTAAGTGGCTCAGCCAGCCGCTGCCCCTCTTGGCAACTCTTATCTTGACATGAATTGCACCCTAAGTATGAACTGAAATTCACTTTACAACTCCAATGTTTTGCTTATATGGAGTTGCCTCAGATCAAACATAAAGTTTCTGCTTGTCTATATTAAGGTGTGTTATCCTGACCATCCTGACACCTCCCCTTCTCCTATATAAGGGTCCCAGTTCAAGAGTGGATTGCCTCCAGTGACTAACTAAAAAGACTTTATAATCACGGTGGCAGAAGTAAACTGGACAAAGGTTTTGGATTTTATAACCAGTTTCCTGTAAGGAGGTTTTGTCAAGAACTAAAATCTTTACACTACTTAAAGAACTATAGTTCTTTGACCTTTTTTCTTCTTCATTCCAATTTTTCCTTCCGGGCCTTGCTGTTTTCCCACCTCAGAAAAGCAAAACAAACAACAGTCTCGGACCTCTGCTCCTTCCAGCCCACGAATGTCTTGTTAGAGATAAGGAAGGTCCTAGAGACTTCCTTCAGAGCTGGGAGTCAGTTACTGACCAAAACAGTTTTGTGGTAGAAAGGAAATGCCTTTGCTTGTTTAACATACATTAATATTCATCACTTGAATGGCACAAATAAAAGATCCCAAGTAAGCTGCATAGGAGTACACAAGATTGGGGGGTTCCACGCTTCTGTAGCTTTTGGGGGTAAAAGACATTGTAAATAGAGTGTTTAAAAAGGAATTCCAGCTCTTCCCAGCAGCTTATCGGAGAAGCTGCAAGTTGCGCAGGAGAGTGAGCGAGCGGGCATGCTCAACACTGCAGTAGCGAGGCCCGATTTAGAAATTTGCCCTCTTTGGCACAGTTTGATTCTGGGTCACTTCCTTGCTGCTCTGTTTTTTCCTTCCAGCTTGACTATGGGACAGCTTTATGAAAAGGAGAAAGACGAGGATGGCTTCCTTTACGTGGCCTACAGTGGAGAAAACACCTTCGGCGTCTGAGGACACCTTTCCGTTCCCATGTGTAAATAGCCTTTCGTTTGTGCATTCTGATCCCGAGGCACATCCAGCATCTGTCACTGGGTTGATTTAATATATTGATAGATTTCCTTTTTTGTTCACTAGCCTGATAACGTACCAGAGTTTTATTTTCCCGTGGCACCCATATGGTACTCATAGCTGTAAATTCCATAGTCGCCTTCATCTGGAACATATTTAATGGCATTATTTAAATAGAGATACAGAATAGGGGAGGGATTGAAGATGAAGGGGTGAGGGGGGGATTTTGAAGTGAATGTTTGATTAATTATTAATAATTGCATTTTCATAGTAATAGGGGCTTCTAGGTTACGCTAAGCAGTTCAAAGATGCTGGTATGTTGAGCTTGGTTAGCGCGTTCCTCTGGATGATGAATTTTGCTTGAGGAAGCAAGCAGCAATTAAAATTCCTCTCAGAATTATGTCGTAATTCTACTATGTTATTTATTCACTTGATTATTTCAACTTCTCTGTCAGCTCATTAGTGTGAACACTGTTCAGCTTCTCTTACTTATGAGTAGCACCCTGAGGTCAAGCGTAATCCTGTAGGCGAGGGATGCATGACTTGTGGCCTCCCAGATGTTGTATGATGTGACTCTCCCCTGCCTCTCATTCTTGGTTTTTGCAAGTGTTTAGTCAAAGGCCTCATGGCTCCCTTTATTTCGGCCCACTGCTCCATACACCACCCTCTGGAGTAATGGGAGACAAATTTGTACTGTGTGTCACGACCCTTTGTCTCTTTGAAAAGGGCGGGTTTATTGCTCTTCGATCATCTCTTCTCCAGACTAAGCATACCCACCTTAGCCTTTCCTTGTAGGACTTTGTCTCCCTGCTCAGGAGGCGTGACTAAGACCCCAGATTCTTTTGTGTACTGCTGCTAAGGCGGGTGCCTCCCATCCTGTATTCGCACATCTGCTGCCTACCTAAACATGGAGCTGTGCACTTATTTGCTGCAGTTAATTTTGTTAAGTTTCGATGAAATTCTCTGCCCTTTCAAACGTGTCTCGATTCCTCTTTCTGCCTTCTGAAACTTCAGCTCCGCTTCGCAGCTTTGTGCTGTATGCAGACTTGATGAGCAGCCTCCCCTACCCTTGTTTATCTGAGCACATTTAGAAGGATGTTGTAGAACCAGGGGCCTAGGAGAGGCACCTGGACAACTTGCTTGCTATTTCTCTGTAGGCTGATGCCCACTCCTCAGACATAGCCAGTCAAGTCCCTGCAACACCACCTGATGGTGTTCTTATCCTGCCTGTGTTTTGTTAGCTTCAAAAAAAAAGCCATTAGATTAGTAGAGGAGAAGCCCTCAACAACCGCTAGGCGCAGTGTCAGGAGGTTAACCCTCCCGGATCAGACGAGCTGCCTTTGAAGTCCACTGCGGTGGCCTGGTGGCCTGCTGGATGGGGAAATCTGACGGGCCAGTGTGAAGACAAGGACGGGAGGCCGGTTGGCGCTGCTTCCTCTGATCCAGCTTCAGGACCATTCTTGTATTCACTTCATGCACCTTGTTAACGATGCGGCTTCACTCCGTAGTCCTTTTTTCCACTGATGTCCGGTTATGTTGGCGGGACTGAACATTTAACGCAAAATATGTATCAGTTGAGGAACTTACAATATTTAACTCATTAAAGGAAAATCCAGGAAAAGAAACTCTGGAGCAGATTCTTTGTCTTGCGGCTGGCGTGTGGCCTCCCCGTGGCAAAGGGCCTTGTTGTGTCGAGATGCTGCTTCTCTTGCTGCCGAGGGTACAGCCCCCTTGCCCCAAGTAGCTCCACCCCCAAAACACAGGCCGGTGCCGTGCCTCGTGCCCGCTTTCATGCCCTTCTCAAGGTCGCCGGTGGCAGCGTTGCGTAACCCGTTCTTGCCCACCTGGCAGGCCTGGTTCATCATTAACAAAAAAGAGGCAGTCGGGCATATCAAGCGAGAGAGATCACCCTGTTCTGCCTTCGTTTCCTGTCCGTGAGCAGGGAGAGCCAACAGGCCGCTTAGGGGCCCGCGGTTCTCCCCGAGGCAGTTTCCCAGACCTGCTTGCACAAGTCAAGGCTTTGTGCTTTTGGAAAGTGGCCAGCGACCAGCCAGCGCCTGCCCTCCTCCTGTGCCAGGCATGGGGAAAGTGTGATGTCGTTGGATTGCCTCTCCCATCATCCCTGACCATTGCTGGTTAAGGGTTCGATAGATGTTGAGAGTCCCATCAATCTCTGAAGCCTGCACATGGTCTATCCTGGGGCAGGAAATCTATCCCTGCTTTCACAGTGGCTTTTACACAGCCTTGGTGTAGTTCTGATCATTTTTAGGGTGGTGGGGGGGCAAAAGACGCCCCTGCCCCCTAGCATGCTCTTTCCCCCTGAATATCCATTAAAAGTACCAGATAGCTTTTCAAGCTCAAAAAAAAGGAAGATCAATAAGTACGAGCCAGAAATAGCTAGCTTGCATCTTTACATTGTCAAGGGGCAGTTTAAGCTGGCTGTGTGCCTTGAGAAACTGACTGTGTCCTGAATCTCTGAGTTGCGGGGTGGGGTGGGGGAGGAGGCTCCTCCCTAAGCAGATGGATCCCACTTGCAGCTGGATGCCTCTAGCGATGATGGTGCCAAGAGGAGAGACTTGCATTTGCCAGGCACTGCAGGACATGTTGAGATTCAAACAAGCCTGTACTAAAAGGGAGGGGGAAGGGAAGCAGGATGGTACCAGGGGCAGGCCAGTTCTCTCTGGCCTGGACTTGAGTCAGCCAGACGACCCACAGAGCAGCCCCGGAGGGCCTCCACCTTGGTTTGCCTTTGAACAGCCCCTCCGGGGAACTTGGAAAGGGTCACCCCATGACCTTCCCATTGCTCTCCTAAAAGAGACTGACCTTCGTGGGGAAAGAAAAGACATTTCCAGAGGTTTGAGGAAAGCCATGCAGTGGAAGGGCTGGGAGGAGTATAATTTGAGCAATATTCATACTAAGGGATTAATTCGGGGGGGGGGGGAATAAAACCTGCCAAGGGCAGCCTTGACACGAGTTTAAGGAGAAGGGGTGCCTCTGAATGCCCGTTGCTAAGGCACCACTGTGGGCGAGTGTTCTCACCGTCATTTCCCGCTTAGGAACTTAATCTCTTAAAAGAATCTGAGCTGTTACACCAGTTTCGAAGGAGTTCCTGCAAACCTGGCCTTCAACCATCCCAAACAGTTGACAGAAACACGGCTCATTAAATAACGTGGGTGACAAAACACGCAGCACGTCCTGTCGTCAAACATTCTCATCAAAGTATATCGCTAGATTTTCCAGGAACTTCCAACATCTAAATAAGGCATTCCAGTGTATATACGATTAAATCGATTTTTATCAAATAACAGGATGAAAAAGGAGTTGGAGCCCCCTAATGTATGGTAAAGGCTAGTACTGTTTCAGTTATATGTTGTCATTTCCAGAAGATGTTCAAATTACAGTAGCATCCACGTATCCGTGGGATCAGTATCCACTGGTTCACTTAATCACAATCTGAAACTATGAAGAAGAATAAAAGAAAAATCCTAGAAATACACATTTCCAGAGGTGAAGTTACCAGAACTGGCCACTAGAGGGAGCAGAAGCCATGCTATGTACAGTGTTCACTATTATCCACATTTTTCAGCATCCGCGGGGGGAAAGTAGAACCATTCCCACATGGATACAGGAGTCCTACTGTAGTTGTTATGTAAGATGAAAGATGAAACGCTGCAATCTTGCTGTTACATATTGGAGAGGTCTTTTTTGTCGGGGGCTGTGTTCTTAGAGTCCAGATTTCCCCAGCCTGAAGCACCGCCGGAGTGATATCCAGAGAGGGGTCTGTCCTGTGTAGACGGAAGGTTGGCATCCAAGCATCTGAGCCTTGCAGTCTGAGAAGTCCCCAAAGCTGACAGCTCTCCATCCTGTTGCCATCGCACCTCAGTCAGCCCTGGCACAGCAGCTGTTTGCCTGCGGGCACTTAGAGCAGGGAGCCCTCAAAGCCCAAGGCAGCCTGGACCACAAGCTACACGTCATGGCAAGTTGGCTCTTTCCCCTTTCAGGTGAAGTTCAGGTACTCGCGGCTGTTCCTCACCCAGGATGCCAAGGCTTCCCTTCGCAGCTCCTTCCAGGCCTCTTGGTAATCTGTCACCGCCTCCTTATAATCCCAGTAGGTCTCCAATGCCTTTTCCCTGAGGAGATGGAGGAACAAACTGGGATGAAGATGAGGGAAGGAGGGGGCTCCCTCCCCATTCCCCCTTGATGAACCCACTGGGATCCTTCCGGAGCCCTTCTGCAGCCCTGCCAAAAGGCCTGCGAGTTAAAAGGCTGGAGGAAGCTCTTGCAGGAACAGAGGAAGGGACTTCACACTGAGTTGTGGCACCAGTGGCAGTGAGTCTCTAAGGCTTCTCGTAAGAGTTTTTCCTGCACTCCCTGGAGACTGGAGAAAAGAAGGTTTCCGCCACTGACAGTCATCCTCTCTCAGACTGCTAGGGATGCCACAGGAGAGCAAACAGCAATAGGCGTCTCGGCCGGCCTCTGCCAGTGAGGGAGGGGCGCCTCTGGAAGGCTAACGGAGGGGTTGAGAGGGGACCGAGGGAGCCAGCCTTCCCGTCACCGCTTGGCAGGGTGCTGAGCCAGGTGGCAGGATGAGGACAAGAGAGAATGTGCTCTGAAGGCGGGCTAGGGCAGAGAACATCTAAGCCCGCAATATCCTGTGGTGTATTGTCTTTGACTATCTGGAGGACATTGTGATGCAGCCTCAGGGCTAAAGAAAGAATTGGCACGCAGGGTCAACGTTTGAACAAAAAAGGGTCACACACCCAAAAGGGTCCCGTACCGAAGCCCCACAGAGGCTGCCCATCCTGCAGAAGGAAAGCCCCCGTTTCAGCAGGCTGGCAAAGGTCACCCACGCCTGGCCTGTTCCCAGGGGGTTGAAGTACCTTTGCTGCAAAAGGGGCAGGCGACTCTCCCTGCGTCCCGCCTCTTGGAAATCATCCAGAATAATAAACGCAGAAGGCTTATCCCTGTGGCAAAGAGGGGGGGGGAGTGTGGAGTACAGGGTCCCCCAGAACCCGACTTTAGCTAAATGCCAAGGAGGAAAACTGGCGGGCAACCTGAAAATAGAGAAAGACTGGCCTAAATGCCAAGGAGGAAAACTGGCAGGCAACCTGAAAATGGAGAAAGACTGGCCTCTTTTGCCCACAGGGGAAAAGGACATGCTTCTAATGGGAAACTGCTGCCTCTTTTTTTTGGGGGGGGGAAGAGGGAGGGAGGGAGGAAGCAGGGCACAGGCAAAGGAAATTGCCTGTCCACAGAAAGCCCAGAGGGAAGAGTGTTAGACAAAGAACATGCAGCTAACATTCCAGTGGGACGCTGTGGGCCGTCTTCCCCTATCTGGGTCAAGCCTTGAGCATCCCAAACACCTGCAGGGACAGGACTGCCCCCCCCCACATCTCCCCAAGCAAGTCTCTGGATAAGCAACACCAGGGTCTCATGAATACGAAGGAGGAAGGGCTCCAGCTGATGAATTCCACTTTGGATTGTTTTTTCCAAAGAGGGAAGGAAGAAGGACCCCGGAAAGGGTAGGTTTATGTCCACACATACCAAGCCATGAAGCGAAGCAGGATAAACGTCACCCTCTAGGAAGTGGGGAACACAGAAACCCATGGGAAGAGAAGCCCCAGGTGTGGTAGGACCAAAGTACATTGACCTCTATGGGAGAGACACAGCAAGGAGCCGCTCCAACATCCAAGGACGGGGGAATTCCTCACCGGAGACTCGCCGGCAGCTTCTCCGGTGGAACGCTGGCCACCAGCTTCAGGAAGGCGTGAAAGAGTTCCACCTTGCAGATCAGAGACCTGTAAGCCAGAAAGGATCCGATCCCATTAGAAGCAGAATAAACACAGGGTTTAGCTTGGCACTTGCTCGGGTCTGTCCTCACAACCCCCTCCGAGAGCTCTCCCTTGTGAGCCCTCTGGAATTCCGCAAGGAGCGCGTCCAGGTCTCTCATAGCCTATGAGAGAATCTGACCATCGGAAGGCTTTAAAAGGCTCCAGTCCTCAAGATGGTTGAGAAAGGCTTGAAAAGAGGGTGGCACGCCTCCCAAAGATGCAGAAAGTGGGGAGAAGGAAGGGCAGGGAGCCATCCCTAAACCTTACAGCTGAAGAATGGGAGGCCTTGTGAACTAAATTAGCACATCTGGCCTGCTCAAGGTGGACATGACCTGGAAATAACACATCTATCTGATAAGGTGGAGTTGTCCAAGAAAGCTCACATTAAAAATATATAAAATTCAGTCTTTAAGGTGCCACCACGTTTTTGTCTCTTCTTTTTTTACTTTTTGTTTCTATTTTGCCTTTGCCTATAACATCGAGCAGGGGGACTTTGTGACACGCCCAGGTCCCACGTTATCCTCTCGGCTTGTGGTCACTGGGGAGGCATGACCCTACATGCACTGGTCCGACTCGCTTTTAGAACCGACTGAACGCCAGCTGCCCTTCCATGGCTTTCAGCAAGACGAGAGGTTCTCTCGCTGGCCCGAGCCTGTATGGCCTTTTGTGCATCCTCCAATCTGGCCTTCAGGGAAATGGTCTGTCTCTCCAACACAGGGCAGACCCTACGAAGCACCTCTGGGTGTCGTGCAGGTGACTCCGCACATAGAGAGAGAAAGGCAGAAGCCTCACGGATGGGAGGAGATGATACCCCCTGGGGCAGGTGGAGGACAAAGAGGAAAAGGATGCTTGGCCCAGGGCAGGCGCCGTTCCACATACCTGGACTGCGGGCTCCCAACTGCCTTCTTGGTGGTCCCCTGCTTGAAGCCGCGAGAGGTGACATCCAGTGGGTGTTCCGGGACTGCACTCCAGCTGATCGCTAGACAAGAGGACAGCGAGAGGGGAAAGGAAAGGAGTCGCTGAGCACGGTGGCCTTTGAGGTGGAGGTCTTTCTCGGAGGCCCTGCCTTCACATGCCTGTGGCCCATCCCACCGACAGCTCCACCAGCCTCTCCGATGTGGCCCCTTCTTTCTCCCTGCCTGCAGGCCCATTTCTAAACACCTGGGCACTGCCCACCCAGAAACAGGGAAAGGGAACCCCGGAAACAGCTGGGATCCCCTTTGCACATACCCGGGCAGGCCTGCCTTCTCGCCCCTTCCCCCGGCCATCCTTCCGAGGCCAGGAGTGAGACCATAAAGCCAGCTTGGTGGCCGTCCATAAAGGGGCATTTTTTTGCAAAGATTTCTACATAAACACAGACTCCAAAGCTCCTCCTGGCACAGCTGGAATGGGTTGCAATTCCAAGCACGCAAGGAGTCAGTTCACCCTGGCTCTTTCCCTCTGGCAGAGACGGCCTGTTTGCCCCTCATGCCAGCAAAAAATATACCATGGCCCCCAGAGGCCGACCATGAGCCCAGCTGTCATGCTGACATTCACCGAGGGGGGGGTAGCCTCAGCTGATCACCCCCCAAAAAGGTGCAGGAAACAATCTGAGGACAGATCAGATGTAGGCGGCTTTGTAATACAGCAGCCCAAGCCAGGGGATGGCAGAGAAAGTTTAAGGACA